CATAACAAGAAAACTGATGTTTGGGAGCTAGGGGATTTCCATGGAGGAGTTTGGGAGGAGTTACAGGATGGAAAAATACCCAGGTCTACCCATTTCTTTTTGATGGAAGTCCCTAGAACTCCTATGTGTGAAAAACAGGAAGGATTATGTAATCTTTTAAATGTGATATCCAAAAAAAAACTGTAACCATTTTAAGGGAGTGTCTCCTCCTAATCAATTGGGAGTTGGGGTCCTATTTGCAAATATCTTAAATAAAGCCTTCTACGGATCCTGGTTGTCACAGTCTTTTATTTTTATTCAAATCTCTCACTGCCCATACAAATTTCATAGTCATTTTGTTAAGATCTTTGAAGATTTTTTATTTAATTTAATTGGAATATTTTGGAAAAAATATAATAGTTTAGGTAGAATATTCATTTTAATTGTGGCTATTTTCCCTAAGGACGAAATCTGTAATTTATTCCATTTTTCCAGGTATTTTCCTATTTGTTGTATCATTTTTATGTAGTTATCTTTTTTTAAAGCTGAGCATCTCACCCTTAACCAAATGCCTAAATATTTAACTTTTTTAACAATTTGGACACCTATTACTTCTAATTCCCTTTTACTGTTAGATTTTTAACTAGCATTTTAGTTTTATCTTTATTAATTTTGGGGTGTGCTACTTCGCCGAATTTCCCTATTTCCTGTAGCAATATTGGGCCATTCTAGCGGGTCTTCAATAACAAATGCCATATCATTGGCAGAGGCCTGTACTTTGTATTCTTCCTTTTTCATTTGTGTTCCTTTTATTTCCTTATTTGATCTAATTCTTCTCAATAACGTTTCTAATGTTAAAATGAAAAGCAGAGGTGACAGTGGACATCCCTGCCTAACTCCTTTCATTATTTCAAATGGTTTCGTCATTCCCCCCATTTATTAATACATTCGCTTTCTGGATAGAATAGATCGTTTCTATCATTTTCTCAAATCTTTCTCCAAATTTCATAAATTTAATCTGTTGTATCATAAACTTCCAATTAACGTTATTAAATGCTTTTTGCGCATTCAGGAAGACAAGGGCTACTTGGCTCCCTGGATGCATTCCATAGTATTCTAATATATTGATTATTATTTTAGTATTATTTCTAATTTGTCTTGTCAGGAGAAAACTATTTTGATCGGGGTGTATTCTATCGTTTAATATTTTCTTTAACCTATCTGCCATTATGCTCATAAAGATTTTATAATCAGCATTTAAAAGAGATATAAGTCTATAGTTTTGGATTTGATTAGCATCTGAGCCCTCCTTTGGAATTAATGTAACGTAGGCCTCCTTCCACGAATCTGGTATCCTTGCTTCCAACAATACCTCATTGCAAACTTCCAGAAATATATTGATTCCCCTATTTATTTATTTTTAAGTTCACCTGATAAACCGCCCGGGCCTGGGCTTTTATTTTTATTTTTGTCTTTTAATTGCTTCCTTTAGTTCAGTTAATGTTATTTCCTTATTTAATATTTCCTTTTTTTCTTCCAATAGTGGGTGCAATGGTTCTTCTTTCAGGTACTCCTCTATTTTCCTTGTTTCTATTGTTTATTGACTATACAGATTCTCAAAGTATTCTCTCGCAATTTCTTTTTTCTTTTCCATATTGGTCTCCTCAATTCTATTTTTATCTAATAGTTGGTGCGTGGTTCTTCTCTCACTTTCTTTTTTTAATTTATAGGCCAGTCATCTACCAGGTTTGTTTGCATATTCAAAATAATTTTGTTTTGTATATTGTAAACTCCTTGCTAAGTCTTCCTGTTCTAAAATGTTCAATTTGTGTTTTGTTAATACCAAATTATTTCTCGCTTGTTCTTCCCCTGGGTCTTTTTGTAATTTATCTTCTAATCTCTTTATCTCCTCTATTAATGTATTATGATTTCCCCATTTTTCTTTATTTCTTTTTGCCGTATAGGCTATTGTTATTCTTCTCAAGTATGCTTTCATTGTATCCAATAAATTTTGCAATGAGGTATGTTGTTTTTTATTATTTTTAAAGAATAGTTCCCATTCTTCTGAGATTTTTTGAAGGTGTTCTTTTTCTTTTAGGGTTTGTGGATTTAATGTCCATCTGCCTTTTTTCCTTGTTTGTCCTTTCCATGTTATTTTAAGTGGATTGTGATCCGCCCAGTTATTTGGCATTATTTCTATTTTTCCAATGTCTTTGAGTAAGTCTCCATTTACCCAGGCCATATCTATTCTTGACCAAGATTTATGCGGGTTGGAGTAGGTGAATTTAGTTTCTCCTGGATTCAGTTTTCTCCATACATCAAATAGGTTCAATTCTTCTTGACATTTCAAAAAAGGTAGTGTGTTTCGTTTCTTTTTGCACTTTTGTTCGCTGGCGTAGTCTTTTCGGATGTTTGCAACTGCATTATAATATCCAATTATACGTATGTTCTGATTTCCTATTTCAATAAGTTTGTTATGTATGGTTTTATTGAACTCACTTTGATTTTTATTAGGCGCATATATCCCTACCAATAAAATACTTTTATTTTCTATAGATACTTCCACCATCAATATCCTCCCTCTCGTGTCATTATATATTAACTTAGAAACTATTTCTTCCTTAATATATATTGCTACCCCTCTTTTTTTCCTCTGCTAATGTTGTATATAATATTCCTAACTTTTTATTTTGTAAGTATCATTCGTCTTGTTTCTTAATGTGCACTTCTTGGAGGCACACTATATCAGTCTTCTGTTTCTCTGTTTCAGATAATATTCTTCTTCTTTTTGTTGGAGAATAAGTCTATTACAGTCCAGATCACCATGTCCCCTCCACTTTTTGGTAACTCTACTATGAAATCCATCACAATCTCCTCCCATGGCCTCATTGGTTTCACAACCATCTGTAGTAATCCGGGGGGGGTTTCCTGGTCATTTTTTTCAATGCGGCACAAATGGTGCAACTCTTCACATAGCTGTCCACATCTTTCTTTATGCCAGGCCACCAGAATTGCCTCCAAGTTAGTGTAAAGTCTTTAAGAACCCGAAGTGGCTTGCTGATTAGGCATCGTGGCTCCTCTGAAAGACTAGAGTACATAGGGATTCTGGGATGCAGAGTTTTGTTCGTTTCCAGGCTAGGTCATCTCTTCTCGTTAAGATGTGTTCATTGTCCTGGAACCAACGGTCTGCTAGCAGTTCGGTTTTTAATTTTGTGCTTAAGTCATCTGCAGGTCGGTCTTATCAGTCGCAGCATTGTCGCCTGGTGGTTACTTGGGCAGCTATTTGGATAGTGGGGATGATGGCATTTATAATCTTCTCCCTTTCACATTTATACTGGGGCATGTGAGAGAGGGCATCAGCCAGAAAGTGCAGGAGGAAGATAAGAAGTGAAAGTTTTGGCTGACCGGGATAAAAAGCAATAACTAAGGTACCCTGGAATTTAAATTTTATAAAAGATAACATCGCTCCCAAAGAAGAGTTGGAAGCAGCGAAAGAAAGTGAAAAGGGAAAGCTTTTTTTCCCTTCTCTCTCCTTCCTCACATTGACAACGAAGAGAGCTGAATAAGAAATCGGAAAAATCCGCTTTGGCACCAATAATTAAGCTGAAAATATAATTAAATGCCAAAGGGACAATAAAGATTTCTGGACACTAAAAAAATCCTTTTTGTCTATAAGTAGGAAGGGAGAGGAAAAGAATAAGGGCAGGATCTAGAAGAAGGAGACTGCCTGGATTTCAAAAGAATTTAATGTAAAATCTCAATAAGACTTCTAAAAGATACATTTTAACTGGAACTTTGTAACTAAATAGTAACCCCAGGAAGAGAAAGTGAAAAAAGAAGAAAGTGTAAAAAGAAACAGCTTGTGTGTATTTGGATTGCTTGGTGACTTTGGGACTTTTGGATATCATATTTGAATGACTAAAAACAATTGGGTGGTTTTTACAATGGCACTATCTCTGGATGAACTGAAAATGGAATTTAAAAAATATAAAGAAGAGATACAAGAAGGAAAGGGCTCCTTTGGCTCCATTTTTCAATTCTTAGAAATGGCAATTCGTAACTACGAGAAACAACAAGAAAAGACTGCGCAACAAGAAGATTGGGACAAAGAAGAAGCCATCTTTAATGAACAAGTAACTCTATCTGGGGAAGAAAGGGGAAAGGGGGGAAAGAGAATGGAGAATTTAAGACTTAAAAAAACAACCAAAAAAGGGAAAAATAATTTGAAAAGTGGATATAATGTTGGAAAGCAACAGAAAAGGGGAATACAGAAGAAGGAAATGGAGGTGGAGAGACAGGGGGGTAAAAAGGGGAGAGAGAAGAAGAAAGGGAAGAAGGAAAGGAAGAGAAGTTATAAAGGTTTGGAGCAAGATGTAAAGAAACGGGACTTATTCAGAGATAATGGGTGAAAATCTAACTGTAAAAGGGATTATGTGAAGGTACATAAGATGGTATTGTTATATTTGTAATAGAAATAATGTTAGAAAATTGGAAAAAACATATGATTAAAAAGAGGGATAAAATAGTGCAATTTAGTGAAACTTTTGTGAACAAAATAAATGAAATAAAACAAATGAGAGAATTGAATTAGGAAGGAACGGGAACATTTTAATTATTCAATGTTTTATAAAATATAAATGAAGTGGGGGGGAATTAACTATGGAAAGTTTATAAGTGTTCCCATAGAAGTATGATATTTATCTGAAAAGTAATGTGTAAAATGTTAAGATTTAAATGAATATTAATATTAATGATAGAATTGAATTGGTATGGATTGTTGTTCTAATTATATTATACATTTATAATTTTTTCTTTTTTTAAAATACAGTGTGTAGTTTTAGAAAGTACCAAGCAGAATCCGAATGGAAGTTATGTATTATATTAAGTGTTATAATTTTAGGGGAAAGATATAAATGCGTCATACTCCAATCAGTGATTACAGGAGAAATTTTGTTTAATGAGAAAAGATAGTAGACAGTTGAAACAGGACAGACAAAGAATATAAGTACAATGATTTGAATTGAGATGAAATAAATAAATAAAATAAAATTAAGAAAGTTAAAAGAGGGGAGAAGCTATATTGAAAATGTAGAATAGTAATAAGATATGGAATGAAATATAAAAATGAGCATGAACTTGAATTTGTGTCTGTACGAAGAGATGTAACTCGGGACTATGCTGCTTTCAAAAAAGATGTTTTATGTTTTTATGTTTTATGTTTTGTTTGTTTATGTTTGTTTTCAAAAATCAATAAAATTTTCAAAAAAAAAAAGTGTTGTGAGAATTATGGTTTAAAGATGTAATGTATTATATATTGACCTACCCAAAGGGGAGAATGTTAGGAATCTGTCCACCAATTAGTTGGGTTGGCAATATATAAACCAACAATGTATGTTTGTAGTTTTAAGACAAAGTCACTGTGTTGATTTGTACTATATTCCTAATGGTTGGTTGTGTTGCGAATTGCCATAAGAGGGAGCTAGAGATCATGGTTTGCTCTCTCTGACATTCTGTATCTCTGACATTCTGTTGCTATCTAAGGTTGTATTTATGCTGTGCTTATGCTTTGATCTTTGTTTACTGAAAATGACAAAGGCAACCGGTAAGAAGACTTTGTAATTGGATATTATTTGGACTGTTAAACGTATATGACCTGGACCATTTATTGGACTGTGCTATTTCTTAAAGTAAACTTTAACTCAATTTAGTGTACCTGTGTGTGGCTGAATAATTATTCATAGCTACTCTCATAAATGTTTCCATGTGCATATCCTTGTTACTCAAGGGTTATTCTGTACATATCATTACAGTTTAGGTCCAAAAGGACGGTCCAGCAACGAAGATATTGACGGTGATCTTGGAGCTTCAAGATCGCGCGTCGTACCACCACGACGCCAGCCCTGCCTCCCTGGACCACATATCTTGACCAGGGTAAAGCAATGGATGCAATTTACACAGACTTCTGTAAAGTCTTTGATTCAGTGGTGCACGACAAACTCCTGTTGAAACTAAGTTCTTACGGCATCTCCAGATCCCTGCACAAGTGGATAGCTGCGTTCCTGTCCAACAGACAACAAATAGTCAAAATAGGGAGGGGCCTATCAAAACCGGCACCAGTTAACAGCGGTGTCCCCCAAGGCAGCATTTTAGGACCCATACTCTTTCTGCTTTACATCAATGACCTATGCCAGGGGTCTGCAACCTTAAACACTCAAAGAGCCGTTAGGACCCGTTTTCCACAGAAAAGAAAACACCGAGAGCCAATAATTTAACAACCGGTGTGACTGGGTGGGCGTGGCCAACTCGACGTCACTCACTCCCACTCAGTCACATGACCCTCCCCAGCCACGCCTACACAGCCAGTCATTAGAGAACCGGTTGTTAACTTATTTGCCACACACGGCCCCATCTCACCCTTCCCCTCCCTGCCACCTCTTGCTACACCCAGCCTCAAGTGTGTTGTTCACCCCTCTCTCTGTCTCTCTCTGTCTCTCTGTCTCTCTCTCTTGGTCTATCTCTGTCTCTGTCTCTGTCTCTCTGTCTCTCTCTCTGATGCCACTGCTGTTGCCAGGGGCGAGTGGGGCAGGGTTGCATTGTGGCTCTGCGTCGTAATGGGCTCCAAGAAGAGGAGGGGACCCAGTCTCCCCCATTGTTTAGTATGCTAAATTTCACTGTGCTGTGCAAGGCATTGTAAGAGCAGCGGGCAGGCCATGGAGGCGGCAAAACCTCCAAGCCCGAAGCAGCTTACAGCTCCGAGCCCAAAGTGGCAGGAGGTGAGGGATGCCTTGAGAGCAAATGTACTGTGACAAAAGTGGAATGCTGTTGATGCACAAAGGCAAGTACAGGGACGCTTCGCTCCCACTGTGGAATATGGAGCAAGTCTCCATTCCCCACCATCGCCCTTCTCAGGCCAGGCAAGGAGTGACTGGGAAGGGAGGGGAGGGGATGAGCCAGCCAGTGGTGGGATCAGCCGACAGGGAGCCACAGCAGAGGGCTGAAAGAGCTGCATGTGGCTCCAGAGCCGCAGGTTGCTGACCCCTGACCTATGCAACCATATTAAAAGCAGCTGTGTCCTCTTGGCTGATGACATAAAATTATTTAACACCACTGACAATGCTGCTGCCCTACAAAGCGATCTTGACTATGTGTCAGAATGGTTGTGCATTTGACAACTCCAAATTTCAACTAATAAATGCTCTGTCCTGCACATTGGCAAAAAAAATCAGAACACCAAATACAAGATGGGCGGAAACAATCTCATAGATGACCCTCACTTTGTCAAGGACCCAGGAGTACTCATCTCAAATGATCTAAGCCCCAGAGCGCACTGTAACAGCATTGCCAAAAAGGCATTAAGAATTGTTAACCTAATCTTCTGAAGCTTCTTCTAACGTAACATTGTATTGCTAACTAAGGCATACAAAACCTTTGCCAGACCAATTCTTGAATTCAGCTCATCCGCCTGGAATCCACATTGTATATCGGACATTAACACGATTGAGCGGGTCCAGAGGTATTTCACAAAAAGAGTTCTCCACTCCTCTACTCACAATAGAATCCCTTATGCCACCAGGCTTGAAATTCTGGGCTTGGACAATCTGGAACTGTGCCACCTGTGGTCCGATCTAAGCATAGTACATAAAATTGTCTGCTACAACATTTTACCTGTCAACGACTTCTTCAGCTTCAACCACAATAATACACGGGCAAACAATTGACACAAACTCAAGGTAAACTGCTTCAAACTTGATTGCAGAAAATATGACTTCAGCAACAGAGTGGTCAATGCCTGGAATGTTCTGACTCCATTGTTACAGCCTCAAACCCTCACAGCTTCAGTCTCAAACTGTCTACCGTGGACCTCACCCCATTCCTTAGAGGTCCATAAAGGAGGTGTGCATAAGTGCACCAGCGTGCCTACCGTCCCTGTCTTACTGTCCCCATTTATCTGTACCTACTTCCTTTGTTTATGTTTATGTTTATACCTATACCCGCTATCTTGTACATGTTTGACAAATAAATAAAATAAAAATAGATTCAGAAATAAAAGGTACGGAAATCATAAAAGAAAAATACAAACTACAAGCCTTTGCAGATGACCTGGTATTTATTTTAGAAGAACCACAAGAAACTGGACCCAAATTAATAAAAAAAAAATAGAAGACTATGGTGAAGTTGTAGGATTGAAAATAAATAAAGAGAAAAGTAAAGTACTAGTTAAAAATCTTACAGATAAACAGAAAAAAGAATTGATGAAGAAGATAGATACCCAGTTAGTTAAGAAAGTAAAATATTTAGGAATCCAACTAACAGCAAGGTGTGCAACCATTAAAGAATATAATTATATCAAGCTAATGTGACAAATTAAATTAGATTTGGAGAAGTTGAAAAATTTGCAACTATCATTGTGGTAGGAAGAATAGCTACAATAAAAATGAATATCCTGAGGAGATTATTATTTCTGTTCCAAACAATTCTGATAAAGCTAGAAAAAAAATACTTTGAGGAGCTAAATAAAATGATGTTAAAATATATTTGGTAAGGGAAAAAAGCAAGAACAAGTTTGAAAATGTTACAAGATTCTAAAAACGAAGGAGGATTTGGGTTGCCAGATTGGGAGCTATATTCCCAGGCCTCTGTTCTCACATGGATGAAAGAATGGATAAATTCGACGCATAGACCAGGGGTGTCAAACTCAAGGCCCGTGGGCCGAATCCAGCCTGCGATGTGGTCGGATCTGGCCCGTGCGGCCATCCTGGAAACAGTAAGGGTCTGGCCCACATCACTTCAGCCCAGCCCAGCCCCATCCATCCTTGTGGGCGCACATGTGTGCAGGAGGCGGCGGGCGCACGCGCGCACAGGCCCGGCCCATGCCATCCCAGTAGGTACACGTGCGCAAAAGAGGAGGCAAGCACACATGCACACAGACCTAGCCCTACAGGAGGCGGTTACATGCCCGCCTTCCAGGATGGGGTGAGCCGGGTCTGTGCACACATGTACCCACATCCTGTGCGCATGTGTGCCTGCTGGGATAGCATAGGCTGGGTGAAGTGAGACGTGCGCCTGCCAGGACCGAAGCGATGCTGGACAGCCCCTTACCATTTCCAAGACAGCTGCCCTTACCAATACAGCAAGCGTTGGAGAAAAATGAATCGACAATAAAAGAGGTAGAGAAAAGGACAGAACAAACCGAAAGGAAACTGGAAATGGTAGATGAACACCTAAAGACTGTGAGCAAAGAAATGGAAGACTCCCTGGTGTACTTAGAGATGGATAAGGCTGCAACATATTTGAGATTCCAAAATATAGTGGAATCAAAAGAAGAAGACTTAGAACAGGTGATGGCGGAAATATTGGCAGAAGTACTGGAAAGAGACAAAGATTATATTTTGAAAGAGTTAGATGAAGTTTATAGAGTAAGTACAAATTATGCAAGACGTCATAAGTGTCCAAAAGAAGTGCATGTACAATTTGCAAGAAGAAAGGTCCAGGATATTATATACAAAATATCTAGAGAAGAAACAATTAAATATAAAGACAAAGAAATTCTGGTTCTTAAATTCCAAGAAGAGTAAGAGAAGTAAGGCGAGATTATAAATTTTTGGTGGCCCAACTAAACTGAAGATGTATTGTATATAAATGGCTAGTCCCAGAGCGGATGTTAATTACACGGGAAGAGAGGAAAGTTAAAGTAGATTCTATGGAAAAAGCACAAGAATTTTATGAACGATTGGTAGGCCCCGAATAGCAGAGTAGCAAGGACGAATTAGAATCAAATTCCCAAGAAGACCAAGACCATCAAAAGAAGGGAGATGGGATCTCAGGAAACTTCAAAAACACCTGACAACAACTAGAAAGAGAAGAAGACAGGACACACTACCAGTCACAAGTAGAATTCAGAGTAATTACTGTTAGGAATAACATAGGTTACCTAACGTAGTTTGGGTAAAATA